TCAACGGTATATTGTTTCTAGAGTTGTGGCTCACATTTCATTTCCTCCAATGAAAAATGTAGTCCACGAGCGTTTCTCCTGGCTTTTGTTTTTCAATTACCAAATCTCCAACTATAATGTCGTGTTGTGCTCCAGCAAAATATCGAATAAATAAGTTTTCCAATTCTGTAAACATTTTAACAGATCCATTGGGAAGATCTACATATGAATCAAAAGTGACCCCTATAAGGTTGTTACCGAATTAATGAAACAAAAGAACATCATCACCTTCCGCGTTGCAATAACTTGCTTGGAAGCGTACTACATGATGACGAGAGTTTTCAGTATCGTCGAACAGCTTGAAAAGTAGTGGTACAGAACTTTTAGTATGTTGAAAGGGATCATATTCCTCTGGGTAGAGTCTACCCGTTGAAATTAAGGATCTGGTCCTCATATGAGGCATTGTTTCTGTAACTTTTTGTTCGATTAATTATATTATTTCTTTTTCTGGGACTCCACCTTGGGTAGAATATTCTTTTCTTTGACTTGTCTCTTCTACTTCAGTTGGGTTTTTTTTATCATCGAGGAAATAAACGATCTCCTGTTGAATAACCTCAATGGCCGGCAATGATGTTGTCTGTTGCAAACTTTGCAAAGTTGCCAATGATATTATCATTTCTTCAACCTTCTTCTCAAGACAATTAGTTTGTTCATCTCGTTGTTGCATGACCGTTTGTAGTTCTTCAATTGGGTCTTCTTCAACAAATAACCAATAGACCATTATTTCAAAGCCCATAGCCTTATTCAATAAAAATGTGCATCAACAACCAACATCCATGTCAAAACATAAAGTTCCAACCATTAGCATTCTCCTGCACACCTAAAGCTAAGAAGAGAAGAAACAGGATACATATCAAGGGGGATGCAGATGGCTTTAATTCCAAAAGATCAAACTAACTATATCTAATAAATCTGCCAAGTCCCAACAAGCCTCTCAAAACTTGGCAATCTATCAATAATCACCATCAATAACTCTAAGAAAACCATACCAGCTTACGGATCTCGATTGAATTAGTGATTAGGCCGCAAAAATCCAAATAAAAGCAATAAAAACTATTTTACGTGCTCATTCTGATTACTTAAATAACAATAAGCTAAATCCAAGCCCTGGGTTATAATTCAGCGTGCTTGAGAGCGAAAATGTGGGTATTGATCAAACCTACTCAGGTTCATCTACTGTCATCACTTCCAAGATCTAACGAACCCCTCGTTAGAATTTGCAGCTTTAATAGAAGCTTAAAAATTAATAATGTCAAAATTTAATTTATTTTGAGCATCAGACTCAAAAAAGTTCAAATTAACATATAGCTACTGTTGAAAATAATTTTTGCAATATAATCTGACAGCGATTCTGACTCAAATTTTGTTCCTTAGATATATCATTATTTCATAAAAAAAATGCTTATATTAATGATTATTTTTGGAAGATTTACATGCATACCACTCAGTTCCCATGCATTAACATATTTAACACCAAAACCCCTAAATTTTACAAACATAAAATCCTACCTGTTCATTAAAAGGTTTATTTCACTTTTTAAAAGTTAAAACAATAATATTTTTTTTATGTTAGATGAAAGATTTGAGTGGTATAAATGTTAAAAGCAAATTTTAGGTGTTAGATATGTACAAACATAGGAATTGGGTGTTATTTTGGGCCATTTGAATACATACCATCCAATTCCACTATATTTACATATCTAACATTTAAACTTTCCTTTTTTACATTTATACCACCAAAATTTTCATATCAAATAAAAGCACCACCATTTTAACTTTTAAAAGTGAAATACACAATTTTCATGCATGGGTAAGCATGCGTGTATGTAAAAATTGACGTTTGGGTGTTAGATATGTAAATACATAATAGTTGAGTGGAATGTATTTCAATTTTACTTTCTTTTTAAAACCCCACTTTTCAAAAAGTTGGAATTCCGCCAGCTAAAATTTTGTCATATAATGCCCCTCTCAAGAGCTGCATTGTTACTTGTCTTTTTAATCAACTTCTCAATAACAAACATATCAAAACTCTCAAGAGCTGCATTGTTACTTAATTGCCTTTTTAATCAACTTCTCAATAACAAACATATCAAATCTGAATATAAAACAAAAACTGAACTATATAACACCATTCAAGCATCTGATTTTATCTCAATAAAAAAACACTTCAAATAAAAAAAAAAATCACGTCAAACAAGTGATAAGTGCAATAAATCATTAGGTAAATTTACAAAAAGAAAATAAAAGATTTGCAATTCTGAAAGGCGAAAATAATAATAAGCATCATAAAATCTCATTTCGCAGGTCTTCGATCATATTGTTATAAGGACAATTTGGTAGCATGATTTGATCTCGAAGCAGGAATTAAACTAAATCCTGCCAAACAGCAAGAAAATAATATTAATGAGAACTTAAATCCTGCAGAATCTTTAATCCCGTTTTTCCTCCGTTCTGCCTCAAATCTTGGCAAAAAGCAAAAAAAATGACAACTTTAAATACTACAAAATCTTTAATCTACTTTTTTCCTCCGTTCTACCTTAAATCTTATAGAATCTTGAATCAAGTTTTTCCTTTGTTCTGCCTAACTCCTGCTAAACAGCAATAAAATGACAACTTTAAATCATACAGAATCCATAATCCCGTTTTTACTCCATTTTGTCTTAAAATCCCAGATTCTGATTGCTAGCTGTGCCGCAAAGGGGGGTTGGAACAAAGGGGTAGAAAAGAGCATTCGATGTATTCGGAATAAGGAGAAAATATATGTTGCATTTCCTATGTGTCCCGTCAAACAATGGAAAATTTAATTTGCAGGTATTAGAAATACAGTACCTCCTTTTGGAATTGACCAAAGAGCCCCTAAATTGATCTCATATACTTCATTAATCATAGATTGCCCACCATCTTTAGATTGATCTCACATAGTTCACATAGTTCACAAAGTTCATTAATTATTTGATTATAGGCATACCACACACATCGAGCTTTGCCACAAGCTCCGTAAAGTTTCGCTTTGTATAATCCTAATGTCACAAATAAAATTAAGCTATTGTATTTTCAGCACATAAAGGATAATGGATTAAAACTTCATGAATCATAGATTGACCACCATCTTTAGATTGATCACACATAGTTCACATAGTTCATTAATTATTTGATTATAGGCATACCACAAACATCAAGCTTTGCCACAAGCTCCGTAAAGTTTCACTTTGTATAATCCTAATGTCACAAATAAAATTAAGCTATTGTATTTTCAGCACTTAAAAGATAATGGATTAAATTTCCTAATCTGCGTTGTTAGTCTGAGAATGACATTTTCAAAATTGCTAGAAAAATAGGTGTTCCTCTTCTTGTTGACCCACTTGTTGATCAGCTAACTGCTAAGGGATCTAGGTTAACATTTGCAAGGGTCAGTATATAAGTTAATATTGAGTCTGTTTTCCCATATCATGTTATTCTTAATGTTAAAGGTCAAGATATTACGCAATAAGTGATTTATGAATGAAAATCTTTTCCGTGTATTGTCTTGTTTGACGGTTACACATGATTCTTTAAATTGTCCTAAGAATCCTTCTCATAAACCTGTACCTATTGCTCCGATCTGTAGAGGTAGAAGTAGGAATAAGAAATATAATGACAAATTAAGAACTAATAGAGTGGCTCATGTTTCAAAATTTACACCAGTTTTAACTAAGATTCTACATTCACTTTTGCCTATAGGTAATTTTTCAAATAATGCTCTACTTATAAATTTTGTCTTGCCTATTGTTGGTAATGATCCTCGGGCTCTGGATCTAAACATTAATTTTAATATTTATCCAGTTAAACCATTGAAACTTGACCATCACCTTCCAGTTCAATGTACTGCTTCGATTTTCACAGGATTGACGAGCACACTTGTACGGAGAAATTGCTCTATTTCTACCTTTAACCATCACATTAAAATGAAAGTAAGAAGATAACGGACAAAAGGTGCCATCTTATCTGTTAGAAAATCAATTTAGTGGGTTTAGGCTCTCATTGCCACCGATATAGCGTTATATTTTCTTAACTTAAAGATTTTACTTGATATTATCTTTGACATTAAGATCACCAATAATCAGAAAATACTCTTGTTGAGATATTCTATGCCTAAATTAACGCTACTGGACTATCTCAATCTCCACGTCAAAGAAAATGAATAAATAAGTATTAACCACAATTGATTATTCTAAATAACATTGAATTTTTCTAACAAATAGTCAGGAGACTTAAACCTTTAAATTCTAGAATATATAATCATTTTTTTCTACTTTGTATGTCCAAATGGTAAAGAACTAGATCAAACTTGTTTTCTTAGCTGTTTTTAGGTATCATTTTTTTTTTCTTTTTTTTTCTTTTTTTTTTGCTTATGTTGATTTGAAATAAAACATTTTTGCCATTTTTGATTAAGATGTGATTGTTTTTAAAAACACTCAGCACATCTAAAATTTATTTTAAATATTTTTAAATATATATTAATTCATTTAAAAAAAATAGAAAATGTAAGAAAATACTATAAACAAACATATTATTAAAAACGAAATTGTTCTGAAATAAGTCCTTATGCATAGAAAATGCGATATGTATATGTTGAAGAATGCAAATAATCACCTAGAAAGCTACTCAAAGACTATTTTAACGGTTGGTGCCAGCAATGGCACACTTCTTGTGACACTTGGAATAGTGGGTAGAGCATCAACAACAACAACAATAAAACCTTTATCCCACTAAGCGGGGTCGGCTCCATAAATCATTTTTCTTCACTGCATCCTACTTAGTATCATATTTTCATTTAAATCTAAAAAAATTAAGATCACTTTTATGTGGGTAGAACATCATGCCGCAGAAATAGAAACTTATCAGAAAGCATTTAAAACACTAGTGAAACAGTTTGTGGCATCGCATGAAGAAGCCAAATTAAAACTCTAATTATCTTGCGAGTACAAAGAAAGAAATTATTTTCAATACCGTTTTAAAATACATACAAGATCAATCATATTAATATTTAAACATCCCTCCACACTAACAGTAAAATTTAATGTCCTTTAAACTATTAGAAGATTAATGACGTCTAAATTAGGTTGGACAAAACAGATAAATTTGCAGTGTAAATGCGCAAGTATCTTCCATTTCGCAAAGAAGATTTTTTTTCCCACTTTTGGCAGCCATGTAGTCAAGTTGAGCTTTCTACGGCTTCAAAAAATTAGAACTGCCGTTCAGTTGACTTTAGTTCAGAGAAAAACAGAGACCAAAAACTGCATAACAATTGGTTCTGTCTTGCAACAGATCATTCTTTGTGATATACAGAAAGGAAAAAAACCGTTTAATTAGGCTTCAGAAAGATAAAACGGAATTTACTCTACAGTTTAACTTTGACGATTTCAAGTGCATAACAAAATTCACATGGATGGCAGAGTTTCATAGCATCTAGGCTAGTTAAAAAGATACAGAACATACCTGTAAATCAGATAACGTTGAAAGTCCGCTGTCCTCAACCTCAGAGCTCAAACTCCTCATCTCTCAGGGCGGCCTGAGCTGCCTCTTCCTCCTCCTCTTCGTTGAGCACAAAATTTTTGTTCTTCTCCACTGGCCTAAACATATAGAACATGAAGATATAAAAGGCTAGGCTCGCAATCTCTTCAGCTGCCACGCTCACCCAACGGTACCTATACGAAGCGATAGTCTTAAGCGCATATACCACAATCCTTGTAAAGTACAAGTACCCGACCAAAACAATGTAGAATTGCCGGAAAAGAGTGAGCTTGGCCAGGTTCCTCGCAGCCTTCCCATCAGTCTTCGAAGACTCTCGAAGAGATCGGATAGACCAAACAATCGGGAATATGACTGCACAACAGCAGATAATGTCAATGAGGAGGAAAGCCTGGTTCCAGGTGATCCAGCCCTGGATGAACGGTCCAGTCTCGCCGATCACGACAGATGCGATGTTGGCGACGACCTGTAGTGGGATTACAATCATGAGGACCTTCTTTTCCCGGTCCTGGAGGAAGGGTTTAAGAAAGGACCAGCCGGTGCCGATGAGAATGATGACGGTGAAAAGGAGAACCCCCTTTAGGAACTGGAAGAGGTAGAAGAGGACGTCCCATCCATGGGGCGTGCCAGTAAGGCGGATGAAGTGCTGGTCTTCGGCAGCGAAAATGAGGTTGAGGGCCTTGACGAGAAGAAGGCCCGCCATGATCTGGTGGATCCCGTGGACGTTGAGCCGGTTCCTAAAAAGCGAGAAATATAACCAGATGGCAAGGAAAACGGCGTATACAAGAGAGAATAAGAAGTAGATCGACGGTACGGGGGCTTGTCCGACGGAAAGAAAGTCGCGGGAGCCATCAGGGCGAAGGTTGTACATCTCCGTACGAACGGACATGGATACCTGGCTTTCGGGAGCGCAGTTCGCGAAGTAGAGACTGTATTCATCCGGGCGGGTGATCGGGAAAGAG